TTTTTTTTTTTCCTTCCTAAATAATTCGAAAAAGACCAACTTTCTTTGAAGAGGCGATTGTTTTTTCTTTTTTATTAATAGTACAAAAAAAATTTGCGATGTTGACAAATTTTCCGCGAACAGCTTTTGCGCGTTCGTGTACATTGTACGGTTCTGTTTATACATTTGACGGTTAATTAGTATTACATTTAGTTGTTACATTTTGTTACTCGTAAAAAAATGGCATGGTGATGATTTTTTTAAAGAAAATAAAAACTTCTTTTTTTTTTATAATACACATTTTAAATAAAGAATTTATTTTATTTATTAGTTTTTTAAAGGACTTTTCTTACTTTACATTTTTTTAACAGTTTGTAAATTATGTCGTATGGTGATAAATCTTTTAAAAAATATTAAAATCTTCTATACATTTTTCGTTATGATACACATTAAAAAAAAAGATTCTATTTAGTTTTTTTCTTAACTAAATGTTATAAAGATTCTTCCAAATAGTATTATTGGATGTTATGTAGCATTGTTATAATTTTCGTAAAGAAATATTAAAATTATTTTTAACTTTTTCTTAAAAATATTCAATTAAAAAAAATAGTTTATTTTTCAATTTTTTTATAGTTTTTTTAAGCTAAGTACTTCAGACATTTCCGCATGGCATCATTATATATTTTATTATTCTACTTGTTTATAAATATGTCGCATGTTGCTAGTTTATTATTTTATTTTTTTCTTTAAGGAAAATTGAAATTATTTTTAAATTTTTCTTTTTATTTCTTAAGTTTTTTAAAAATAAAATTAATTTTATTTTATTTGTGATTTTTTAAACAAAATATTAATAAGTTTTTTTCCGTTGCTTTAGATTTTTTCGAGTGTATTTAAATTATTATCATGTCAACTCTACCGTACCTTTTTGTACTGCTAAAATGTCTGTTTTGGGGCTGTACTCACCTCGGTTATTATTAATCATGTTGTTTAATTGCCATACCCTCCTTTCGGTTGCCGCTGATGTTTCCCTAATTAGCAACATCCCCAGTCTTTCAGGGGCCGTTCAAAAAGTACGTATACAAAAATGGAGAAATTTTAACCCCCTCCCCCCCTTCGTACATTACCGTACGTAAGGTCTTACTCCCCCCCCTTAGAGTACGTACATTTTATTACTCTACCCCCCTTTTTCATCAAAATTAAAATAATTATGTTTTAAATAA